ATCTCCATATATTGGGGGTCCTTTGGGATCCCTAATATAGGAATATTATAAGAGCTGGAGCACTCTACCAAAAGTCCCACTGAGCTCCACCTCCAAACTTCTGCCTGTTTCTTAATGAGCTAAATATTGAACTTGAGAACTGTGAGAGATCAGAACAGGAAAAGCCCAAACATACATGAAGGAGAAACAGAAAATAACAAAGGACAGAAAACACAAACAAGGGCTGGAGATGGAGCTCCGTGGTAGAGCACAGGCCTCGCCAGTATGAAGTCCCGGGTTCCATCCCTGGCATTGCAAAAACAAAACAGGATAAAAAACTCAAAAAGCAACCACACACACGAAAACAACAGGGGAGGCTGATAAGATGAAAAACTATTTATATAAAAATATAGAAACAAAACAGTCCTTTGTGAAGACTCGACAGGATTTTTTTTTTTTTTAACACAGTGTCTTGCCAAATGGCCTAGGCTGGCCTTGAACTTCCATCCTACTTCCTTTCTCCTATGGGATTTTCCCTCTGTGTTGTACCCAAGATCTTTTCCAGGACAAGATGTGTCCGGTTCTAGGGTGGATATGCCCAGGACTTCCAGGGCGAGAACAGGAGGTGGCTACAGCGGGGACTGGGATATCCAGTTTCTTCTCCCCATTCCCAGAGACCTAGACAGACACTGGGGTGCATTTACAAACGTTTAGATTTCTGTAAAACCGGCTTGACTCGCGCTGTGGTGACAGGCATAGTGGTGGGCAGGTTGCTCCAACACTTACCTTTCGAACACGTATGCCCTGGGGGTGTGCACAGCTCTGGGACCTCATTTTCTTTGTTATCAGTGGGGACCTGTCTGTCCCAAGTGCACACCTTCCTTGTGGCACAGGCTGGGGGTGCCACACGGATCTCTGCTCCTACAAGGCTTCAGAACCCACTGACAGGGTGAAGTCACAAAGTTTTCCAAGCAGCGCAGTGTCTCCACGAGCACACCATGTCACCCACCTGGTCATGGCATAGATGTAGGGCTCCATACAGCACCCCATGTTCTCTGGGATGTAGGGGATGCATCCAGAGGATGGGTACAGGTGATCCGTAGGTGGTGGATAAGTGGTGCCCCACCACCCTAGATCGGGCGGGTGGGAGGGACACATACTGGCTTTCAGGGCTTGGGAGCACCAATGATTACCCTTGGGTAAGGGGAATGTGAAGGGTGGTCAAGGCTCTTGAGAGGAATTCTTGGGAGAGGAATGAATTAAGTAACTCTGGTTTTCAGTGATTGAACACTACCTCTCAAGAACAGCCCTTAGCATCTTCACCTTCAGCTGTCAGATGGGTCTCCCTAGGGTGCAGCATGCAGAGACCTACCCCTTCAACTCTGAGGCCATCTCTGGGGTTTACCCTTTGTCATGTGGCCACTCCATACCTAATCCAGAATGTCCTCCTGCCCCATGACTCCAACCTAATACCTATGCCCTACCAAAGAGGCTCTGAGCCATGCACAGCACACACAGGCCCTTCTTCCCATGTCTGGCCTTGCATCCCCCTGCCCAGCTGGTGGGCCTCCCTTGGGTTCATGATTCACTGCTCACCCAACTCTAGCTCCCCAGGTGTCTATAGTGCCCTGAGTTCTTTGGGAGGAAAAGTACACCTGGTACCTAGGACCTTCAAAGGAGCCCAGCACAGAGCAGGGAGGCTGTGGGGTAGCCCACTGCCCAGTCCCAGATATTCTACAGCTTCCCATGGAGCCACTTAAGACCTGGACACAACTGAGCATGGTGATCAATTTCCTTCAGCTCTGCCACAGCTGTAATCAAAAGGATAGCCTCAACGTGCAGCACAAGAGAATTGGACTAGGTACCCAGCAGAACTTCCTCACAGGATCCTTTGGTGGTCTTCTTCTCAGGACAGGTCACAATGGCCATCTGTGTGTGGGGTCAGCCACCTGTGTCTGGCAGAAGTATGTGCTGGGTGGGGAATGCCTGGAATTACAGTTGGGACCCAGCCTCCTATTATCCAGCTAGTCTAGATGAGAAGCACCCCACCCATTCTCCCTGATCCGTCCTCAAGCCCAGTTACTGGAGAAGCATCCCTCATTTTTCTATATCCCCCCATTTGGACAGGGCCAATGTCTAAGAGCTTCTTCTGACCCTCTCACCTTTCCCAGCAACTTGGTCTACTCTGACCCAGCCTGGTGACCCTTCCACCCAGCCATGGCGCCTTCTCTCTGATCTCTCTCCCCTTACTGACTTCTCCCAAGGACTCCCTCTTCCCTAACCCCTCCAATCCTTGGGCACAGCCCAAGTCTGGCAGCCCCAGTGGGCCACAAAAGTACCTGACTCCTCTTCATTCTCAGGCATTGCCCTTTGGCCACCTTTGGGCAGTTGTGGTTGTAGCATGGGGAAGGCCAAGGAAGCAGGCAGGCTTACTCTTGGTGGGGCCCTGGTCACAGCACTGCTGGACTTTCTGTGTGCTGCTGCCTTGGTGAGATGCCTGTCAATGTGCACAAGTGTTCCCTCGGAGGAGATTGGTGTCTACCTGGGTCCTCCTTAAAAGAATAAAAGAAGGATGGTAAAATGCCATGTCCCTGAAATTCCCCATTCCATTCCCAAGAACCTAGCCAAGGCAGTGCAACACTGAGAGCAGTCCCAAAGCTGAATATCCATCTATGCATTATGTTGAAGAACACTGTCCCTCTTCTTATATCTCCCAGTATGCACACCTTAGAAACTATAGCAAATTCATGGTATCTGCAGAAACTGCTTTCTCAGACATTTGCTAAGCTGCTTGGGATGCTGGCCATAAAACTGGGCAAAGTAAGCTCATGACGTCACTGCTTCTGACCTAACGGGTAAACCCCCCATGCTGGTTGTAATTGGTGGGGAATCCAGCACTGTGCTCTTCCAGGCCACCACACTGGACAATGCACTATGAAAGACAGAGGTGCTGTGAGCACTACCTATCCCAAGGGACCTTTCCTGAAAGCAGTTGGAAAGCAGTTTCCAATGCATCACAGTCCATCTCAGGTGTGTTCCTCTCAGAAAAGTATCCACTGCCCCAGCACAACAGGCTGGGATGCTACCAACCCCTTTCTCCACAGCCACCATGTCCCAAGCTATTTGCAGTGTCTCAGGCATCTGGGTACATATATGGATCTGTCTGTGCCAAACATGGTAAAGGAAGGGCTCAAGTCACCAGAGTATTACTGACCACAGTGTAACAGAAACTTCTGTAATTGTGACCCAAGATTCAGGGAGAGGGACAGACTGTGTGTCACCTGGAGACCCTCTCTGAGCATTCTAGCTGTGCTGAGACTACTGAGAGACAAAGGACCACCTGACACAGCCCCTAGGTCAGGGGTGGAGGTTGTAAGGGCTGCTGTGTTAGGAATAGGATCAGGCTCCAGCCCAGAGTGGTGATGCAGGGTACAGCAAGGATTGTGGGGTCCCATCCATTTAGCCCTGTAGCAGGACAAGAGACCAGGGAAGGCCAGTTCAAAGACTCAGAAAAGAAATCCTTTTCTGCAGCCTCATGGGCAAGGTAGCCACTGTTGTGGAGTCAGAGTAAGTGACAGAAGCACAGGGGATTGTCCCCATGGGGGCAGGGTTGTGGCCAACTTCAGGGCAAAGTTGAGGATGCTATCACCACACCCATGCCACTATGAGTTCAGGGACTCAGGCCCTGAGACTCGAAACCTTAGGGAACAGTTGTGACATGTCCCCTATTACAGTCCTCAGGGTTGAGGAGCTATTCTAAAGAGCAAGATCTCCAGAACCAGTAAAGCTCAAAGGTGCAGAGTCAGTCCATGAGAACTGACAACCATTTACCCTAACAGTTACCAGCTCTGGCACCCTAGTCAAGTACTGTTACAGAGCCTTCAGTGGACGGAAAAAGTATCTTCACTGTGTTGACTGGACCCATTTCAAATACAGCATCTCACATGTCACATGGACCCTGAGACAATCCACATTCCTGCCACACTTCTCTTATAATTACCCTTCCCAAAAGACTTCTCCATACTCTCTGCAACCTTACATTTGCTGTGCCTCAAATCCTGATGTTGATTCATACATCTTTTTAAAAAGGGAAGGCTTAGCTCTTTTGCCCCTCTCCATCAATGTACCCTCCATTCACTGTATCCTTCATACAACAATGAAGGATGACTCTTCTATCTCAGAACAGCTTTTTGTGTTCCCACGAGTTAGTGATTGCCTTTGTTTTTCATCTGTGGCCGTCTGCCATGCTAATCCCAAATCAACATATTCTTCAACTCCATCCATTGAGGTTTCTGCCCACTCCAACCCACTGAAACTTTTCTTAGCAAGGTCATGCACTTACTGCCAGATTTGGTGGACAAGACTAGGTCCTCACTGTCTATATTCCCTATGCAGCATTCAACACAGTTACTCTGGTCCATTTCTAAAACATATTTTGTTTGGCTCCAGTGAAACTATCCTTACCTGATTTTTCTTCCCTAACACTTGGTACTTCTTCCCAATGTCATTTTCTGCCTCCTCCTTTTAAATGTTAGAACAACTCAGAATTTATTTATTCATCCCTTCCCTTCTCTTATTTGAGGCGATTTTATACACTTTCTATAGCTAATGATTCCCAAATTCTTATCTCCATCCTGGGCCCCTCTCCCAACTGTCAGACTTATAGTACCCAATGATACCTCCCTGTGGGTGTCCAATGGGACTCTGAGACTTAACCTCATCAACTGGACTCTGGATTCTCTGCTGCCCCCTGCATTTCCCAAGATTCCCCAACTCTGCCATCAACCACCATCCCACCAGCTGCTCCTCCCACACCTGACCCTCACCCTACTCACCCTGCTCCTTCTCTTCCCTCACCCTTGTCAGTCCTACCTCTCACATGCATCACAACTCTATCTACTTCTTGCTACTCCTGCTTTGGATCCTACCATTTCCTTGTCCCAGGAGGCTCTGTTCCCCTCGACTCTGCCCAGGATCCTCTTGACTGGCTTATATGGGCCCTAGGGAGAGGAACCAGTTCTAAGATTATGCCTGCAGGGATCATATCTAGAGTTCATTCCTGTAGAAGTTTCTCTGATCTTGAAGTGTTCTGGAAACCACGAAGAAGGAGCCCAGAGTTTCCTACCAAGGGTGAAAGCAGCTCTTGGTGTTGCTTTACTACAATTGTCTTTTTGCCATTGATGATTATTCTTTCCCCTTCTTCAGGAGGGTGATAAGGGGGAAATGCAGCCTGAAAGCTTTCCTCTAAAAAGAAAGAAAGAAAGAAGAGCATGTTCTGACTCTCTTATAGAGTATCCCTCACTCCCACCACTATGATTATCTAACTCGAGTCTCTATTAATAGATCACATGGCACCTACTACAATTTGCAGTTCAATGTGTGTGTGTGTGTGTGTGTGTGTGTGTGTGTCCTTTTCTAATGACAGCCCTAAGGAAGAAGTGTCTCCATCTCCCATGTTCACTACTGTGGCCTCTCCTGCTAGAGAGTCTGTCACATGGGGGGTTTTCAGGCATTAATGCAAGAAGGAAGGGAAGCCCTGGCCATCACTCTAGACTCATTAGGGAGTTGCTGTGTGACCTAGAGCAAGTCACACTTATTTCTATGGTTACTGGTTGGATGTGCAAACCCTCTTCTAGCTTACTGACATCTTAAGGGAACCATATAATGTTGCTATAAAAGTTTTAGGTTTTCTAGGATGTTCTCCTAACTAAACATTGCAAATCTCCAGATTAAACCCCAAGGATCTTAACTTTCTTTAAAGGACTCCCCTATCCTTAGACCAGGTTATCTGAGAACAGGTATCAGTTCACTTATTTCAGCAGACCATCTGCCTCTCCCCACCCACCCTGTGTCTTTCTCTCCTCTCATGTGCACCATCTAGTGGCTCTGCCAGTGTCCCAGGGACAGGGCCGCATTTTTAGATGAACTCTGTGCTAGCAGCAGCACAGCTTTCTCTCTTCCCCCGTTTTCCATTTGTCTCACCTGAGGACTCTCTACCATAAAGACATGGGAATCGTTTGTAATTGTGAAGATGTGAACAGCAGGGACCAAAATTATAGGATCCCAGAGGATGGGATGGAAACATTTGAAGAACATGCTGGTCCTGAGTCGAACAGGTACAGAACTGAGGTGGATCCACACCAAGACCAGGTGAAGAGCCAGGTTCCCTGGTGCTACCTGTCATCCAGCTCCTGGATGGCTGAGGCAGGAGGAGTGCAACTTCCAGGCCAGCCTTGGCAACTTAGTAAGACCCAGACTCAAAGAAAAAGAAAAGTTCTGAAGATTCAGTTCAATGGCAAAACCTTTGCCCAGCAATTGGGGGCCCCTGGAATGGGGATCCCCAGCACTGCAAAAAGTCCCACTGCTCCTGCGTCCATGAACATGGCATCTCTGCTCACCATTGCCCTGGGCTCTGAGGTCATGGTCAGGAAGAGTCAACAATGACCACCATTAGAAATGTGCAAACAGGCCCCTCCTTCATTCTCTAATTACAAAAGTTTTTTTTTCTTCTTTTTGAGGGGTTGTGCTGGGGATTGAGCCCATAACTTTGCATATGCTCAGCACCTGAGCCATACCCCACCTCCTATAACACAATGTGTCTTTGCACCAAAATCTACTATAGTTTACTTTTGTTTCCCATTGCTGGGTTTCCACACTACAGCAACATACCTGAGATAACTAGCTTATGGAGAATTCAAGTTGATTTTGACAATGCTTCCAGAGGTTTCATCAGTTGGCCTTGTTGCTTCTGGGTGCACAGCAAGGCAGCGTATACTGAGGGGGTCACAATGTGGAGCAAAACTATTCATCTTGCAGCTGGGAAGCAGAGAGAGCAAGGACAGGCCAGGGTCCCCCTGACCCCTTAAGGACATGGTCCCAACCAAGTCCTCCCACTAGGCACCACCTCTTCAATTTTGAAGCACATCCTAAAAACATCTCTCTGAGGATCAAGGCTTTATCACAGGGGGCTTGTTGACCCTGAGTGTCCACACTGTAGCACAGCCCTCTGGAACATGTTCACGGTTCCCACCTCCCCTCCTCCACTTGAGTATAAGCCCCATGAAGGCAGGAGGCCCTCCCCACCTAATGTAAGCCCACTTCCTAGAGCATGAGCCCAGAGACCCCTGCATGCCAGGCAAGCACTGCAGCACTGAGCTGCACCCCCAGCCTGAGGACGGGATTTCTGTCTGCTTTGGACACTGGTGTTTCTGAGCATCTGTAATGGGGCATCAGCAGATGGGGAGGKGGTGAACAGAGGAATTAGGTCAGTTACACTAGGACATTTTACTATAGTAATTTATGTGTACAGGTCAGTTTGAGTGAGGTCATTGTGGCCACAGGGTGTGTGGGGGGCCTCCCTGGGGTCATTGCTGGGCGCAAGCCCTTGGCTTTCTAAGCCAAGAAGGCCAATGACCTGCATGTGCAACCCAGGTCAGCCTGGCCAGCTCTTCAGGGCTGGAGCTCACACTAATGACTCAGGTCAGCGACTCTAGGACAGAAGGCTCTGGTACTGCTTGACTGTCTCAGCCTCTCCACGTCCTTGAGGAGGGTGACATAGGACAGGAAAGCCCAGGGCTATCCCATATTCATCAGCAAGGGTGGAGAGGGCAAGCTGCTCAGACACCACTCAAGACACAGCTCTTATTTCTTCCTCATTATCATATATGGGTGCTCCAGGGAGGGTGTTTTCTCCAGTGGGCCTGGGCAGGGATGGGGAGAGGTATAGGCAGAAGGGCCACTGCCTTGCAGACCTCAGCTGACCCCACAGGGAGCTCTGGAGCTGAAATGCTTCTTCAGAGCAGAGGTGTCTTGCATTTGGGCCCAAATGGACCAGCCACTGGGTGTGGTCACCAGGAAGGGTGTGACCCTGGGCCAGCCTGCTCTGTGCTCCTTAGGTCACCTGCTGACCTCATTCCCAGCTGCTGACTGGCAAGCACTATGGGAAAAGGGAGTCCAGGGAGTGACTCTCTTTTCCTGTTCTCTGAATTGAACAGCACCCCTTCCATAGAGCCCATCTAGATATAAATTTCTTTCATTTTGAGAAATTTGCCTCCAGTTTTTTTTTTTGGTTTTTTTTTTTTTTTTTTTTTTGCATAAACTAGCTGGAGTATTTGAGGGTCTGTGCCCCAGCTGGTACCATCTCTCCCTCCTCGAGAGACTGAGACTGAGGCTGGGGTGCGATTATGAAGGTTTATTTCCTTGCAAAGGGGAGGGCAAAGAAGCTGGGGTGGCAGGTGAAGGCGGCTCAGACCCCGATGGGCCTTCTGGGCTGGGCTGGCTCCATCCCCAGTAGCTGCAGCAGGTGGACTCTTCTAGCTGTATAGCATTGCTCCTGTCGCTAGCTGCCAAGCCTCATCAAAGTCCTGGTGGCACGCGGAATCGATGGAGCACTTATCTGTGGGAAGGTCCATAAGAGTGTGGGCGTCCTGGGGTGGACAAAGCTCCCAGATCCACCTCTGTGCCCCCGATGGGCGCCCGCCCCGCCCACCCTCCGCAGTAGCGCACCTCTGTTGCAGCGTGGGCCTGGGGAGGTTCGGGGGCTCTGCCCGCAGGTCGTGGGTGGGCAGCTCTCGCCGCCGACGCAGCGCAGTGATCTCCCGGCGCACTAGAGGCCCCTGGCCTGCCCCTGCCTGTCGATTGTTCCGGAGCAGCTCGGCGGCGGCGGGGGCGGCGTCGTTATCTTGTCCTGCTAGCGACGCCAGAGCCGCGGCGGCGTTGTTGGCTATGGCCGCCAGAGCGTTTTCCGCGGCGTTTCCTGATTCTGTGAGTCCCTCTGTGAGTCCCTCTGTGAGAGACAGTCCGGGCACGCTGTCTGCTGCTGCGGCCGACCCTGAAAGCCCTCCGTCGTCGTTTCCTGCTCCTGCTCCTGCTCCTGCAGAAGCCCCGGGAAGCCTTCGGTTTTCATGCCGGTGTGCTAAGGAAAACAGAGACTCTGAGTTTCTGTCTACTGRGATGGATGCGGGTGAGCGCTGAGCGCGGTCAGGGTGGTGGTGGAGAAAATGTGGGCACCCAGGAGCGGCACAGACTGGGGTTCGGATTCAGAAGTGGGACTGAGGTCCTTGGGCCAGGCGGATCTGGAGAGCACTCAAGGGTGGGTGCAAAATGGACTGAACACTTCTGTTTTCAGGTAATTGATGACTGGCTGTCAGTAACAACCACCAGCATCCTCACCTTCAGTTGTGGACACCTTCCTCTTCAACAATGAAGCCACCACTTCATGTACCCTCCTCTGTCATGTCCCCACCAGACCCCCACTGCACTTCCCATTACCCCATTATTCAAACCTCTTCCCTAGGCCCTGGTAGAGGGCCCCTGACCATAGGCAGAGCACACGCAAACCTTTTCTCCCACTCTGGCCTTGACCTTGCAACCCAACACCAACCAGGCCAACCTTACTTAGGTCCAYGATCCAATACTCACTCTGCTAGGTCCCCCAAATGGGTTCCAGGGCCCAGAACCCTGGGAGGACAGGCACCTGTGGGGCCTGAGACCATCAGAGGAGCCAGGCACACAATAGGGAGGCTGAAGGGGTTGCCCACATGCCCACTCTCACATATCCCACAGCCTCACGTGGAGCCCCTGTAAACCTCAGCAGAACTGAGCAGGGGATCAGACTTCCTTCAGCTCTGCCACAGCTGGCATAAAAAGGAATTGGCTGGACACACAGTAGAAGACAATTGGGTTAGGTACCCAGCAGAGCTTCCTTGCAGAATGCTTGGGTGGTCTTCCTGCTCAGACCAGCTTGGATCAGTAGGCCTCTGTGTTTGAGGACCGCTACCTGTGGCTGAGAGCAGTTGATGCTGGGTGGGGAAGGCCTGGAATTGCAGATGGGACAGAGCTTCCTATCCTCCAACTACTCCAGAGGAAAGGTCCCAACAGGCCCAACACAGACCTCCCCAGTGCAGTCTCTCAAATCCAGGCCAAAGCCCAGTTACTGGAGAAGCATCTCTCATTTCTCTCCAGCCCCTGTGTGCATGGGTTCAGTGTCCAGCAGTCCCTTCTGCCCCTTAAAACTGGCTTCTTCCAAGCATTCTCTCTTCCTAGGCCCTGCTTAAGCACTGATCACAACAGGCAGTCCCGAGATGGTCCACAATAGTACCTGACACTGAATTGCCCGGTGTGACACCATGCTTGCAGCCCATGGAGTGGCATGCAGAGGTGAAGACCAGCAGGCCAATGATGTAGGCGGACAGCAGATTGCCAGTCATCCTGTTTCTCTGGGTGAGGCCAGGGAACAGT